TCTCTGAACCCCCAGCGGCTGCTTCGCTCACGGTCATCGCACTGAGGGCTTCAAGGGGCCATGGCCAAAGATTCCTTCCTTCTCATGTGCGGATGCTCCTGAGCGTGCCCCACAGTCGCAGTCGCTTGCTGGGGAGTCCTGATATTAAAGATCGTGCTACTAGTGTCCACGCTTCATGTAAGGGCCCCTTAGTTGCTGAAACTGTCATGTGGAGAGGCAGTACTTTCCCTGAGTGGTGAGGCGCTTTTGACGTCTTTTGAGAGGGAGGCTGTGTCCTCTGATGGAGGCGTGCCTTTCATGAGCGGCCTGTTTATGCCTCTTGCCATTCTCGCACTGCAGATACTCGTACTTGCCAGCCCGCGTGGCCAATAAACTCTACCGGTACCGGCTTCTATTGAGTAGGGCTTGCTGCGCAGCGCCTGTGAAGGAGTCTGTGGAGACGACCGATGCGACGGCCCCAGATTGCGAGAACGACCCTAAGGGCTTGCGTGTTTCAGCTTTGGTGTTCCTTGTTCATCTATCGGCTTGGACAGACACGGAAATCCCTCAGGACCCAACCCCATATTATTCATATTCCAATGCATCGTTCGTGTTGCTATGGAGTCGGTGCTTCCACATCACAGTGATCAGCACAGACATAGAGGGACTACGTCTTGCAACCTGGAGGGAGTAAATTCTGTCCTCTTAGCTTGCAAACCACCGCACCTCTATGATTCAACTGACTCCACAGGGAAGAACGGGAGAACCTGCAAGCACCTGCTCTGCAAAAGCAAAGGAGACGGGTTATAACGGTCATAGCACAGATTCGAAGCCGGGTCCAATAGCAACAGCAAGAATAACACCATATTACTAGCAATACGAGTAGCACTACTCGGGTCTGAGGAGTAGGTAATACCTACTATTTCTGAAGGCTCCTTGATGTTGTAGCTATCGTATCAGAATCCCAACAACCCTATTCCGAGTGTTGAGAGGTCAAAGCGATGCCTCCTCTTAGGCCGGCGGCGAACAGAGCGAAGAGAAGGAGTACGATGCCCTTTTGCAGATGCTGAGGCCCGGAATCCAGGAAGACCCTGCACAGTGACCATGCCATAAGTACTGCAGGATGGATGGGAACAGGGCTCATCATGAGGGGTGGTTGGCGGGATGCTCGCATTCCGCGAACCGGGCTTGAACCCCAAACCCTAAAGCCCTGAAGCCCCTCAACCGTGAAGCACCAAATAAGCCCCAAACCGCGTGGCATGGACCCTAGACCCCAAGCCATGACCCTGAACCCCAAGCCCCTGAAGCCAACACCCTAAGCCCTGAAGCCCTAAATCCAAACTCTTGGTCTGAAATCCGGAAACCCCACTCCTATTTACTGGGTTCTTGTTAAGGAACTTAATTTAAGTTACCATAATTAGGAAACCCTATTATTTACGATAGATCCCTATTATGGTAACTTGAAATAAGTTCTTTAATAAGAACCCAGTTTAGCAAAACAAGCGTATCAAAGCATCAGGGACCAACTCCGGGCTGGACCTGCGACGCCTGCGGAGGCCGCGCAGGCCTGCGACTCTGACCTGGGGGGCCACGGGGGGCGAGTTCAGGTTTTAGCACATCTAGGTAGGGCTTTGGGACATTTTATATTTTCCCTTATTGGGCTTAAGAGGATCTTATTTACTAATATTTTTCAAAAGCTTTAAAAGCCCCACCTAGACATGAGGTTGGGGGTTTCGATTCTAGCATCAGGGTATGCCGGAAGACAGGGGCAGTCAACAGCTGGAATTCAGCATGCAAGATCCAGCAGAACTTGCTGGCAAAGCAGCACCGGAGCAATACAGTGAAGAAAGCCAGAACCACAAGTTTCGGTTGATGATATAAATCCTGCATGACCCATAATAAGGAATATTCCATAGTTCCCATAGTGTAGGGTCCTTAAGGTAATGCAGGATTTATATCATCAACCGTTGCTCCCGTCGTCCACATGATCCTTGGTGCCAGTCTAAATGTACTTGGTTGTACATGGCTGTCCTGAAAAATCCTGGACCACTTTTAGCCCTCATCACTTTACCGTACACCGTAATTGACATAAACTCATCACGTCTCGGAACAGCTTTCAAGAAAAACTAAACCCCTAAATTCTGACCCGAAAAGCCGTAAACCTGAAGCCCTATTCTCTGAACCGCGAGCCGCGAGCCTTATCTTGCTCCGATTTGCAGGCTCCGGCCGCAGCCGTGAGCGACTTGGACTCCCAGGGGCGAGAAACGGCCGCCCTGAGCAAAGAAGAGCAGGCGAGCTGAGATTCTAGGAAGCCGGCAGGGTTCAGGGTTCTTTTAGGGTGTAAGCGTTAAAGCTTTGGGTTGATAGGAAAACATGCGGTTTTTATGGGTTTCTAGACGAGTTTGACTCTGGAATGAAGGCTAGGCCAATCGAAATGCCAGCATGAAGGTTTCAGGGAGCAAGGCATGCGAGGATTAAATTCAGCAGTAGGATCCTCCTGATCCTTGGGGTCTCCCCCGACAGGATCCTCCCAGTTTTCAGAACCTTCCCGGCAACATGAGGCAGGATTTTTGGGGCACAGTGTCGAGATGTGCAGGCTGCCAGTATTCAGGAGGAGCCCTTAGACTTCCCTCCTGGTTTTCATTACAGGCGACCTGTTCGTTAAGGTTGGCGAAGACGAGGAATGGCCTGAGGGTGGGCCGGAGTTCAGCATTTCATTCCGGATTGAGTGGTTTAATATAGTGGCCTAAATACATACCCATACTTGTGTTTTTTTTTGTTTGCGGGGGGGGGGGGGCGGGTGGGGGGCGTTATTTAAATTGTAGTATACTGGGCCCACAGCACTGTTCCAATTATTGAGGCCTCTATATTAGGTTCATGCTGTGCAGGTTCCATGAGCTTCGATGCTACATGTGCTAGGCTGATAATTTTCGGAGAATGGACGGCACATGGCCCGAAGTTGAACGGCCGCTTAGCAGCAGCCGAAGCTGCAGCCGGAGGCTCGCATCCTGGACCTCTTCGAAGCGCGACGCCTTGCTGAAAAGGCTCGGGGCCCCAGATTTGCTGCCAGCAGCCTGGGTTGGCTGGAGAGCACAGCCGCAGCAGATACAGCAATAGCACACAACGTGACAAAGTGACTCAGCAGCAGCATCATCATCATCATCACCATCATCATCATCATCAGCATCATCCCTATCTTCATTGTCATGTTCACACCATTGTCGTCATCACAGCCGTGATCTGACACTGAGTCTAGAGCAGGCATCAGAGCCCAGACTTGGCCACCGCCGCCGAGACAGAATTGACCGTGCTCGGCGAGTTCAATCGCCCAGCTAGGAATATGAATCCGCTCACTCCAATCGAAGTAGTGGACTCAGCTACCCTCGCCGAGGCTGCAGGGCGTCACCGAAAGCGAAGTACACCTGGCAGAAGTTGATTAGAGATGTGTGGGGCGCTGCTTTAGACGATAGGGATTTAGAAGGAGGGAGTTCGCAATCACTAATGGCTGGTTCTTTGCGGGAAAGAGGCTTCTCGGGCATTACGAACCTACAGATGCTCATTCGGTAGGTTAGTCTAGCAACAGACTCTCCCGGCCCGCTTGGCCACGGCCCACATGATCTTGCTGTGACACTGCAGCCCACCAGGCACAAAAAGAAGTAACCTCGCGAGCTTTCAAGAAAGAGACTCTAAACTGCCTCGTAGGTTCCGTAGTTTCGCTTTCTTCTGGGAGCAAAGCTTAAAGGGCTCCAAACTTCGACATCCATCCATCCTGTCGGATCCCGAGCCCGACACCTGGCGCGAAATCCGAAGGCATCCCTTTAGTCTCTGGCTAGGACGAGCCTTCCCTCAAAGGGTTTTTGTCATGGAAGCATTGTAAATACCTTAGGGGCTGCCTGTAACAGTAAACGCAATAGGTTCTTTAGGGTCATTCAGTCAAGGGCTATATGGGGTATGAGAGCTCTAATAAACTACATTAATCTCATCCAACTAACGACATGTATTTGGAATAAACTACACTTATTCTATCAGGAAAAACGACACTTATCGCACTAGGAACGTTTGCATAATTTGCAACAAACAACACTTAATATTAATCAACAAACGACAGTTATCTCTTAGCATAAATGTCAATAAACGACACTTATTCATAGCCAACAAAAGACACTTATCTCACTATATGGATGCCATAAAATGACACTTAGTTGTATTCAACAAATGACACGTACACGTGTATTTGGTGGCACATGAACTATTCCGAGCTGCCGCAAACATACACTGATTTGCCCTACTCGTACCCTATGTTGATCAGGATGCTTCGAATTCCAGTGCGATCGGTAACAGTTTGAAATCGTGATTTCATCATTCAACAACTCAACATCAGTGCATATATCGGCTGAAGCCAGTAGGGCCAAGCATGGATCTGTGTTCTGCGTTTTCTGATGGAGAAGAGGTCGAGGAAGCGGTGCAGGGCGCACCGTTTGATCTGTCGGCTGCTTTTTCAGATGAAGATGTACCTGCTCCATTGCAAGTTTTTGCACGTGCCGATGATGAATTAGCGAATGTTGAGAATGTTGAGCAGCAGCAGCAGCAGCAGATAGTTCCGCAGCAGCAAGCAGAAGATTCCCGAAGGTCTGGTTATTCCCTAAGGGGGAAAGTCGGTCGAGGCCGACATGGAGGCGAGCTGGAGAGACAATTGGTCTGTTCGCACATGAGAGCGGAGAAACGAGCAAAAAAATCACGTGAGGCTGAAGCAAACATAGTGGCAGCTCTTCAAGATAGCATCTTCATCAAAGATGGGACCACGTTTACGGTCGCAGCGAAACACTTTCGAAAGGGGGGTGTGCAGGTGATCTTGCATAAATCTGCTGGCAGAGGAAACCGCTTCGTGAGGAAAATACACTTTTCGAAATTTCTGCGGGCTTCATATGGCTTGAATACATCGAATGCTGCATTAGCCGTACTCTTTGGATATTGATGCTACGACGGTTCCGCGACTTCAGAAGACGTGTGCTGGAGTCTTTATGTGGAATCAAGCTCGCTTGCTGGCACGGCTTGTGGCATACTGTCGTGACCATCCGCCGGTCACTGTGCACCAGCAGCTGAAATGGGACGAGACAACCGTCTCCACGACCTTGAATCCAGGTGGGCGGTCCCAGAATGTTAAATCCTCTTGGTCAGTACTGGTTGTGCGATCGCGGCTACTTGTGACTTGGGCTTCTGGGGCGAGCTGGCTTATGCGGTTGGTTATGCCAACCATCCCGCTGATGTCTGGTGCCGCGGATCAGATATACTATGCCCTGCGATGCCACCCTTCCTTTTATACCTTGAACAACATGGTGCGATTGATTGCTGAGACTGCCCAAGTCCGCTGCTGCCTGCATGAGGTTGATGGAGCCTATGCGAAACTGCGTTTACATCATCACTTTTTGTCGCTTCCTTGCTTCAGTGGTCTCACGGCTACGGGTTCGTTTCTGGAGACGGCTAGGTGTCAATCCCACGCAAGCCACCTTATTTCGTGTACTATGCTTGCGGTGATCGGGGGAAACCTCTTGAACCGGATGTACGGGCTAGCCGTATTTGTGCGGAACCTCGGATACTTACTCCGCTTTCAATTAGCCATTCAAGAATGGATTGATGATGCTCAGTTGATTCGGTACTCTTTCTGCGCTTTGGTTTGGGTTTCTGGCTTGTGCTCTTGAGTGTGACAATAGACTTGCGACGTAGGCATCTTGGTTTTCAATCGTATCGATATCGAGTTCATATCTGATTCAATCGCTGTTGGCGACTGGTAGGCATCCAACATAACATTGAATATTGGACCCTGGTCCCCTTATTTGGATTGGGGCTCTGATGTTGTGGCATGAGTCCTCTCCTTACTTTTGCTTATGAAGTTTTGTCGGTATTTTCATATTATAATTCTCTTATAACTTATATAATTTATATATCAGGGCCAGATATAATTAACATAAGTGATTCGATCTATGATATATGAGATACTTGTAATAATTCTGTGGTTTGTGACGTGTAGAAAATATGATATCATAAACTATCGTCGCTTGTATTGGTTGAGTTAGTAACACTTCTAGATTCTTGAATGTTGCCTATAGATTGTCTGTGTGGGGTTTGGAACATTTTTGGGTTTCGGTATCTTAAATCCTGCTGTGTACCAAACACAAATCTTAGATCCGCCTGCCAGCCCACTCTCCCGATCTTATGCGAGGCATCACTGATTGTGGTGCCAGAACCGGCTCCACAAGCAGATCCGTTGATGCAAGAAACACTGGGCTTTCTGGAACAGTGGCACCACAACCGAAGTGGCCAGGATGATGAAGCAGCAGAGTCCGGGTCGGGAACTTTCCGTAAGAAGCTCGAGGCCTTTAAAGAAATGTGGAACGGCAGTTTCACTGGAGCCCCAGTTCATCATTGCACAGGGAACCATTGTAAGTCGCGGGTGGAGAGTGTACATAGGATGGCTACCACATTTATTGCACTGCTTCTCACTGCACTTCCTGCAGTTCCCACCCCGAACAAATGGACCAAACTGTGGCCCATTGCAGACTTCATTGGCCTCGGGACCTTGATTAACAATTATCTCCCGTGCATCTTCGAGTTGGCGTTTAAACCAGTGATGTTCAAATCAGACATGACTGATCTGGAGGAACCAGACCCTCGCCTGGTGGAAGGACTTTTCTTCCATGCTGTGCAAGGCAAGCGCTACACCGGCTCCCGCACTTTCCTGACTTGTGCTGCCACACAATTCTGCTGCAGATGCTTCCTCATCGTTTCCGAACATCTGCGGAGACTGGTGTTTTATTGGCTCCAGAACCTCAAGAGGTCCAAGAAACGGTCTGCTCGTTATGCTGTCTGTGAACTCCTAGATGTTCGTTGTAGTGTAGCCTGGGCTGTTCTGCAAAACATTGGGCATCAATTGGTTGATTCTCAGGGCCGTGGTCGACTTTGTTTCATCTGGCGAACTGCTGGTTTTAGTTCGTTTGGGGAATGGTGCAAGTCCTGTGACAACGACCTTCGGCACCTTCGGCGGTCACTGCTATGTCTGTCGGGCTGGATCTACAAACGCCACATATCTTACTGGCAGGAATCCCCTTGGTTCTTGATGCAACTGATTGACCCAGGTGCGGACAGGGCGGCTGTGCAATCAGCGATTGATCGCTGGGATCGTTCTCATGTCTGTTGCTTACGTCCCGGTTTAGCCCGTGAGCTTAAGAGGCTGAGATTGACAGGGGATGACTTGGCCACTGTCCCAAAATGGAGATCTACTCTATCCGGATATGCATATCTCCTAGAATTATAAGATTCTTGCGTGGACACATTGGCATAGCCTAAATGAATTAGTTTATCAAAAAATCATCGTTCTGGCCATCCTCAAATCATGGCCAACATCATCATCATTTTCACCCTGGTTGAAAACATCATCCGAAAATCATCCTCATCCGTAGTCATCATCGACGAACCATCCCCATCAGTAAGTCGAAGCATCATATCATCAGGAGTAGTCAACTCTGCACTCTCCACTTGCAGGACATTGTTGTTGTGGCTATTGATGGTGACACCAGTGACATGTAGATTAAAATGGATGGAATTTGCTCGAAGCTTCTTTTTCCTCCTGCTGGAAGATGCTCCCTGTTCACTCCAGTCCCCACACTTCCTCTATACTCTAGATTCTGCAGACTCTATATTCTAGACTCTAGACTGTGCTATGGAATGCATTGCGACGCGCATCGTGTGCGCAGACAACAGAAACAGATATGGAACCAGGTCATCAGAGATCGCAGGCGTGTTGAATCGACGGTTTTTGTGGCACGCAGGTCGCAGATGATCTGGCGAGGATGTTCTGGAGAGGATGATTCGAGGAAACCAGGATTGGAGGGGATGGATTTGAGGATGATTTTGGGATGGCAGTTTGGAAAAGGCAAGATTGGAGGATGATTCGGTGACGCTGAGCCACGGCCTCAAACCGTCGTTGCCCAGGCAGGGGGGGGGCGCCCGGCAAGGGAGGGCAGGGGCAGGCAGGGGCAGGGAGTGGGGAAATCGGGAAATGTGTGAATGCCCCAGGGAATCATCAAAAAATCATCAAAAAATCTTCAGGGCGCCCGGGAGGGGAGGGCAGGGGCAGGCAGGGGCAGGGAGTGGGGAAATCGGGAAATGTGTGAATGCCCCAGGGAATCTTCAAAAAATCATCAAAAAATCATCAGAAAATCTTCAAAAAAATCATCAGAAAATCATCAAAAATCATCAGAAAATTTTCAAACCATCCTCAAATCATCCCCAAATCATCCTCAAATCATCATCCGTTTATCGTTTCATCATTTAATTATCCTGAAACCATCATTCTTGGCATCCTCCGTCCTGCGCGGATTATCCAAAATTCATCCTCGGGCCCCTCCGCCCCGTTGCCACGGTTCAAACACATCACGGTTTTTCGATGGGTATCGCCTAAGGGCCTATAGGGTCTAGGATGAACAGTGCGCCAATTGATTGACTATGTTCTTGTAGCATAACCCTGTAGTGGAGAAGAGGTGAGGCGATGGAGCGGGTCGGTATGCTAGCAGCGGTCATCTGAGACAGATGGTTGTGTGATGCTCTTTCGGTAGTGAATTCTCATTAGCTGCCGGCTGTGTTGCCGAGTGCTTGCGATAGGACGTGGACCTCTTGAATGCACATACAAACTTGCAGTGTATACGTGCACTGACAAACACGGCCCCTCAAAGACAAGTTTGCTTAGGCTTGTGTTCGCAGGTGATGCAGGAGGCTTTGAGGAAGCATGCGTGGAAGTACTCCTTGCGTTTATTCGTGTGTGACTTACGCGCCTGGGAGCCCGATGATAATAAGATGATGATTGGTGGGGCAGAGGATGATTTGAGGATGATTCCGAGGATGATTTGATGATGACGAAGATGAAGATAAAATGATGTTTTAATTATTTAACTAAATCCAGTGTGTGGCTGGCTAAGATTCTTATAATCCTAGAAATGACCATTGCAGATGTGGAGTGTAAACACAGTCTCAGCAAACATTGGAGCGATCGTCCGTTCCCAACGATTACGGCGAAGCATCTGAACAGAGAGGCTTTGGTCTGTGTCGAAGAAGCCCGTAGCTATGCACAGTCGCTTCAATCATCATCAACATCAGCGGCATCACCATCTGATCAGCTTGGTGATGTAGCCCCACGGCCACCCAAGCAGATAGCCAAGCTGAAGACAGCACAGATTAGAGGTAAGTCCGCATACATGTTCTTTCGTGATGACCTGCTAGCAGTGCAGAAGCAGTTGGCTCCAGACGGCGGCGTCAATCCTTGTTCCAAGGCTTTTTGGGCGGAGTTGAAGTCAGGTTGGGAGTCTTTGGCTCCTGAACGACGACAGTACTATGAGGAGCTGGCGGAACAGGCTCACACAGAGGCGGGAATTGCTCGCAAGGCTGCTTCAGCTGCCCGTGCTCCAGCTGAACATGCGGCCGATGTTGAGACACAAGGACAACGAGCTGAGGAGCCGGGGCATTTGCAAGCTCTCTGTGTTGCATCCTCATCTGTGCCAATGCATGAGACGCCATACAACCCGTGGGTTCTCGCATCATCGGCTACAACATCGAGTGATATTCTACAAGTAGCCCAGGATGTTCGCATGTACCACAAGCACCCTCCCCAGAAACTTTCGGATTTGGCTGACGACTGCTTGTCCAAAAGTCCTGTGTCTCAGGAACAGATTGAGAAGTCTTGGAGGCAGAACCTGGCAGATAAGCGGACGTGGGCGACGGTCTTGAATCAGTTCAACGTGGAGTGTCAACGGTTTGCAATCCCACCCCCAGATGACAAATTTCCGGACCGGGTCAACTATCAGGGGCATTGTGGGGTGTTTTGCAGGACTAATTCTTCACCGTCTGACGTGCAGTGTTATCACCAGCTTCTTCGCAGTTTCGACCAGGCAATCGCTCAATGCGGAGATGGCACTGCTGCCTCAGCGACCAAATGCGACATACTCTTGAGATTCCAGCTTTGTCGATTCGAGGAGGCTGAGCCATGCGAGGTTCGTTACAGTTGGGTTACAGCTTTGAGTGCACAAAGTGGGCCCCATCCTTCTTCTCAGATCTTCATTCCACTATCTGTGATGGAGCAGTCGACAGCAGATGGCCATGTGAAGCTGTGTTTGCAAACCCAAGATCCTGTGGGCGCCGAGGTGTCCTGGTGCTCTTCATTGCTCACATGTGGCCCTTTGCAGCACAGCACAGAGCAGCAGTTTGCATCCGACCTTCTAGATTTGTGCCATGAACATGAAGCCTCGGCTGTTTGCTTGGAGCGGCTTTGCTTTGATGATCTTGACCTCTCGGTTGTTCAAGCTCGCGGTGTGTGGCCTGGGTGGCAGAAGATAGTAGTTGCGGTGTCAGTGTCCGACCAGGAGCAAGACGTTCCTGTCCAGCAGCATGGAGTTCTTGGCGATGATCATGCTGCTGAGCCTGTTGATCCTGCTCCGAGCCGTCGGGGCGGCTTCGATCTCATCGATGCAGTGTCAGCGGGTCCGGGAAGGGGTCGAGGGCGAGCTAAGGGACGTGGCAAGGGTCGCAGTTCTGCTGCTCTACGGAATAGCTTGGTAGCTGAACTGCCGTGTGATCCAGCATTGGAATCTGATCTGGAATTGGAGTTGCAAAAGGTGCTCGATGCCGAGCACGTGCAAAAGCTTTTGCCTGAGTCCGATGTTCTATCCTCTACCAATGCAGAGCTTCAGGAAGCTGTGGGGGATCCCGTAGTCGTTGCCTCCGTAGATGAAGCTTTCCAAGCTTCTGCCCTGGATGCACTGAGCCAGTGCCGCTCTGCAGACACAGCATGTGAAGCAGTTTTTCAGGAGTCAGATGATGATGAGATTGTTGACGAAACCATGGATGGAGAGATTGAGGCCCCTGTAGATGCAGAGTCTCTGGCGAAGGCTGATGGGGACACAGATGCAGACCTGGATGCACTGCCACGTGGGTCGTCTGATCCTCCTCCTGCCCCCGGATCGAATCAGAGTGTGTGTGTGTGTGAGTATGTGCACGATATATACTATGATATGGCTCTGCAGCCACAGGGTCATCTAATCACTACTACTAATGATAAGAATTCAATAATATGTGGCACTAATAAATGCAATACTTAATCAATAATTTAATAATACACGACAATGTAACGTGTTCCTCAGCCAGACTATTCTCGCCTAGGCTTCGGAGTTTGTGGCGCCATCCCAGCAAAGAAGCTCTTCTGCCGCACGGCCTCGTGGCTCGGGACTTCATGAACGTTTGTTGGGGACGTCTTCGGATGGATATCCAGTGAAAGCCCTTGAAAACAAACATGGAAGCACTCTCTTCGAAGTGTGGAAAGAATCTGCGAATGGCACAGATATCTTGGGGAGAATCAACATTATGTCGTTTACATCAAAGCCTGTCTTGAAGGCTGTTTGCAAAAAACACAAGAACTGTCTCTGCATCACCAACAGCCTCGCTGAAGAACGGAGGCTGCTAGAGTGGTTGTGTGTGGCAGCCGACAAGTCCGCTGTCGAACACCAGAATCTCAGCAGGGAAATTAGGCAATCGCTTGGCATGAAGGTCCGGAGATAGCCCAGCATGCTTGCCTGTTTCATGTACAGATGCATGAAGGTACGTTTCAAAGGTCGTTTGAGGAGGTGGTCCGGCCGTCCGGCCGATCGCATGTCGCTGCCCAGAGTGTGGAGGTATGTCCCATTAGATTCAATTTAATTCAATTGATATGTAATAAGTCGAAACCACAACCCCGATGCAATAATATAATATATATTATTTATATATTCTATTCATAAGTTTATAAACTATACTTATATTACTTATATTAGTATAGTTTATCAATACATTATTGCATCGGGGTTATGGTTTTGACCTAGATCTGACTGATTATAGGCTATAGGGTAAACTTATGATTTATAACTTCTACTTTCGCGCTTATATCAAAGGGGAAAAGGAGGGACTCTTAATAGGGACCCCCACCCTATAAGCTATATCATGGGTATACAATAGCTGTATATATCTATATATAAATACTAAGGGTATATAACATAATATAGTCAATGTAGTCATATAGTCCTTATTAAGGGTCCCTGCTTTTACCCTTGGGTTATAAGTTCGAACCTTCCCCTTAAGATTAGGTTCATAGCTCTACCCCAAAACTCCGACAAGCCTGCTGGCGACACGAGTGTCGATGGTAAGTGTTGCAGCTAGATGGTAGGTCTTGCACGACAAGCATCGTCATGGTGCCGCTTAGAAATCTTGTACATGCTATCACGTAATAATTAACTGTAGAACTTAACTATTATATCTGTGTCTTTTGTAACTTGCTTGTATGGCACGACTTAGGCGTTAAGTATAGTTTCGTTTTAGCAAGAGCCCCGGGCCCAGGTTCACTCGATTGCTTCTCGCCGTCGTCGTTGTTAAGTATCGTCGCCGTGAAAGTCGTGACGTTTTGGGCGTGATGGTACCGGCCTCCCCTGGTTTCTAAGCTGGGTAAACCATGTACCCCAAAAGCCCATGAATTTCACATCCCCAGACCTTCCAAAATCCCTTAATTAAGGAATATACCTTAAATTATATTAGGATCCCTAATACTAATATGAATTAAGGTATATTCCTTAATTAAGGGGTTTTGGAAGGTCTGGGTCCATTAGAGGCCGATGTTGCACTACCCAGCTTCGTAAAAGCGTACTCTAGTCTACAACAAGCCCTGTTGTAAGGATTACAGCCCCCCTAAACCCTAAACCCTCAACCCTAAACCCTAAAGCTTAAATTCTAAAGCCTAAACCCTAAACCCACAGCCCCTATATTCGGTTGTATCTGTTACTGATATATTTCAAGCCTTTTGGTATTTGGGGGTTTGTAAGATTAGGCTCCTTTATTTTCGGGTCGAAGATTGATGTTGGTGCAGGCAGCAAGGCAAGCGATGCTGGCCTCAGTGTGATATTTCGAACCGGAGAGCCCTGAACCATAGCCCTAAATCCCCGACCCTAGAATGTAGTCGCGGGTTCTGTTTGTGAACTCGGCCGGTCAAATCCTCCTGGCATCTCTCAGCCGGTCGCCCATCTTGGGCGATTTGACGACACTTGTGAGAAGCAGTCTGGCTTGCAGTTGAGGCCTGCCACACGTCAAGCCTTGAAGTTCAGCTGTGGGTTTTGATGCCAGGCTAGTCAGACCTGGATGACGTCAACTTAGGTCACAGGTCTCAGCTGAACGATGCCAGTGCTGACATGTTTCCAGACAGTCTTTACCGAAGGGAGCTTCAGCAACGGTGGGGGAAACAGAGCAGCAGCCGTCACACGTTTCTGGAAGGGGCTCGGAATCCATCATTCGTCATTCAAACTTGGGTACTGCCCCTGCTCAGCAACAGTTAATATAAGTTATGGTATAATATAATCTGTATAATACAGATATCATATCTGACACAAGTATGGTATAGTTATGGTTCCAATTAGACGACTGTTACTGTGTGGGGACAGTACCCAAACTCAAATCACCAGTGCTATCACTGAGAGTATCACTATCGCCATCATCATCATCGTCATTGCCATTATCGTCATCTTTTCCACCGTCAGAATCATCATGTCGTCATCGCCATCATCAGCATCAGTATCTTCAACATCATCATGTGCTTCGTTATTTGCATCAATGTCCATATCATCATCATCATCAGCATCATCATCATCATCAATAGCATCAGCGGGGTCAGGTCTCGCATCAGACGGAAAGACGTGGCAGAACTTTCGGCATTTCCTGCAATACAATTATATATATATATATATATATATTATCCTGGACGACGGTCGCCTCGGATCGGTGTTGATACATCTGCTTGGTATATGATACAAGTTGTGATAGAAGAAGTGATGTACAAGTTGTATAAGTTCTACTCAACCTATGCTGTCATCTAGTAATCCTTAACAGTACGGACCATATGTAATGCAATAGCCAGAGTCGGCCTAGTTACATAGTCTATAGAAGTCAGAGTATTATCTATTGAAATATTCAGAGTTGTATGAACTAAATTCTAAGTTAGAAGGTATTATGTAGCGATGTAGTTTATCGTGAACGATGTAACGCAATCGCATTAGGGCTCTACCGACCCTAGCTGCATAGTTAGTACAAACCCTATACTGATACTATACTCGCAGTTTACACATTAAACTTGGTGTTCTGAATCAGAATCACATTAACTATAAATTATAAATCATAAATTATAAATTATAAATCATGAAATTAGAAATTATTTATATTTATACATATCATATAATCATATATTATGCACATACATAAATGTCGTACGAGGTATATGTCACAATCGTTTATAAGTTGTATCATAAATTTACGTATGAAAATTATTATATATATATATGTAGTGGTGTATGCTTGAAACATTTATGTATAACTAATCCGTATATAGTCGTTCAATTGAATTTTGCTTGTCGGTTTTTATATGGAATATTGAAACCCATTGTATTTAACTGTGCTGCATGTTGCACACTGATTGCATGCAACACTTTGCTCTGTTGCGACATGCATGCGACACCAGTAGCACCTCCTCTGGGTGGAGGTCCATTGTCTGGCCGCTGGCTCGAATTGACAAATACAAGTCGAGACGAGTCTGAGATGTGCATAGTCAGCCAATTCCGCCACGTAAGGTCAGCAAGTGCGGGGAACTTGTACAATCCGATGCTTAGGTGGCCCGGGATAGGTGTCGGTGTTATTAAATTTCAACAGTTGCGAGGCTCGAGATAAGATTCGGGAATAATTAGCCAAAACCCGACACTTATCTGGACCGGGAGAAGTGTCGTTTATTGGCAACAAACGACACTTATCCGGGCCGGGATAAGTGTCGTTTGTTGCCAAAAACCGACACTTATCCGGGTCGGGATAAGTGTCGTTTGTTGCCAAGAAACGACACCTATCCGGACCGGGATAAGTGTCGTTTATTGGCAACAAACGACACTTATCCGGGCCGGGATAAGTGTCGTTTCTTGCCAAAACCCGACAATTGGGGGGTCCGGGATAAGTGTCGTTGGACCCCAAAACCCGACAGTCATGGGGGCCGGGATAAGTGTCGTTTGTTGCCAAGAAACGACACTTATCCCGGCCCGGGATAAGTGTCGTTTGTTGGAGAGTCCTAGCGATTTGGCAATAAACGACACTTATCCCGGGCCGGGGTAAGTGTCGTTTCTTTGCAACAAACGACACTTATCCCGGCCCGGATAAGTGTCGTTTGTTGCCAATAAACGACACTTATCCCGGCCCGGAGAAGTGTCGGGTTTTGGCAACAAACGACACTTATCCCGGCCCGGATAAGTGTCGTTTGTTGCCAATAAACGACACTTATCCCGGCCCGGAGAAGTGTCGGGTTTTGGCACGAAACGACACTTATCCCGGCCCGGACAAGTGTCGTTTGTTGCCAACAAACGACACTTGTCCCGGCCCGGAGAAGTGTCGGGTTTTGACAACTCCCGTGGCAACTCCGGATATTTATCCTGGCCTGCTTTTGTCAACTCCCGATCCAACCAGCTACTGGGTTGTGCTATATACAGAATCCAGCCCGGCAACTTGCCATGGATGTCTACTTACTTTCGACCTGCGAAGATTGAAGGTATCATTGGCTTGGCACTTGTCTCGAAATACGATGTCCCTGCCCAGACCAAAGATCACAGTCGACGATGACGTGATATGATTTGCCTGTCAGGCCTTCCATCATATATCATGAATCTGATGGATACGAAGTCTTGCTGGCGACTGCCTTGTGCCCAGTCGACCTGCCATTCCATATTCGGAGTGTTTGTTTGATGCTGTGCAATCGAAAGACGGAATAAGGCATGCGTCATCTCTAGCTAGATGGTCCGGGATATGGCACAGGATAAGGCAAGAAGGATTCATCCTTCGGACCATGGCTGCCTGAGGTCAAGAATTATCGACCCAGTCTGGCAGGTCCGGGTCTCAAGAAGCACAGCAGAATGTGTTCCTTTATAAGATTTAATTTGTAATCTCAGAGGTGCCCAGCGAAGATGCTAAGGAGCAGACTTCATCGAAGTGAAGTAGAGGGAGACGATATGATGTCCAGCATGGCAGCAGCCCCGTGAAAAGGCAGCCCCATTTCACTAATGCTCATGATGTTGAGTTTTAGGGCTCCTCCTCCATGCCGAACCAGCAGATGGTTCGTTTGGCATGGCAGCAACACCACGAAAGGTCCGGTGAAAGGCAGCCCATCCCACTGATGATCAGGATGATGAGTTTTGGGGGTTCATGCTCGTATAACCCCGCCCCGCTGATGCTCATGATGCTGGGTTTGGGAGGGATTCTGCTCCATGCCAATCGAGCAGATCGTTCGTTCGGTATGACAGCCACACCTGGGTGCTGCCGGGTGGATGGGTTCTGGACTCCACAGGGGCATTTCTTACGAAGGCTGCGAATTGCTGGGGATGCATGCAGACGTGTATGTGTGTGCATATTCGTGGAGTATCTTTTTGCATCTGTAGCCAGCTCGTGTCGTGTGCAGCTTATACATCTAGAACTTTGCCAGTTTATTCCGTAGTCCTGAATATCATACAGCAGAAGATCACAAGTTGGAAACCCACCAGCATGAATCTTGAAGAGTAATGTGTAGGCTATATTAGGCCTTATATTAGTTATATTAAGGAATCCCAGCACTTCTCGGCCTTTATCCGGGTTCCAATTTTAGGGCTTCTTCTACATAATATCAGTCAGTTAGCACATAAATTAATTCAATATATAACTGTTATACAGTTATACCTAATATGAAACTATATTAGAAAAATCTTATGAACCACATAGGATTCATAATTTATTTATAACTTATAACTTTGACACTAGACATCATTGAGATCATAGATATCATAGATATCATAATTAGATGACTAACTTTTATATCATTTAACTAACATATGATTAAAAACAAATAAATAGATATATGATATATGTATACCGTATACCGTATACAGTATGCAGTACAGTGCTATATTGAATATGAAAATACCTAGATAATACACTGTATTCAGTAAACAAATTACATATCATTCATATATGCTTTCATATGCTATATGCAGAAGCCAGTTCCTTGCACAACACCATTGGGAAGTTATACTTCAGGAACATCCTGAGACCGGTGACACCGACATATATCCGTTTTTCATAGTTGGTGAGCTCTACAGTTATACAGATAAACACATTTCTTTACTTGCACTATACATCTCAATCGTATGACGTTGTGGGTATGTAATTCCTTATAGTACACAAAGACGATATAGGTTAGAGCCAAAGTAGCAGTGATGGAATTGAATGTAACTGTATGGGTAATGATATAGTCGAGTCATTACCACACAGAAGATTCATTATACGGAAATCATAACACAGTCCCCACACAAACACAGAAGCTTGTATCAACACGTAGGATTTGTCACCTATGGTGTGATATTCCGTGGCGGCATATGCTGATCACTGACAGTTTACATTCTGCATGAAAAAACTATAGTCTAGTAATTCTAGATTATTTATCTATCTTTCGTCTTTTGCATACAGCTTGTATGATCAATGATTATAAGTCACAGCCCTGATGCCTATGAGGTCGTAAGCCATAATATGATATGAAATGATGGAGGTTGTATGTAGATTCAGTACAGTTACGATACGGTTAAGTCAGTTTTTGAGATGTTTTAGTATAACTTTTTAATGTATTCGTAGCTATACGACTGAGAACACCTATCTAGGGACGACCGTCGTCAGTAGGTATATAACTATATAATCCAATCCTGGCTATTCAGTTGGGAAGGAGAGCTGCCAGTGCCAATGTGTTGCTGTAGCGAGACGTCAGAGATGCAGTATCGCATGGGTGCTCCAGAAGTGCTATTGGTAACTCTGCCTTGCTGCTCAACACACAGAGTACCAGTACTCTGTTTTGCATTGTGCATTGTTGTAGCAACTCGACCGCACTTCCCCACCATTCTCTCTCGAGTGTAGCGATGCCGCCGAAATCGAGTGCAAAGTGCAGTCGCTGCAAGCGACTTTGGACGTCGCCCAACCCGGTAATCCAAAACCCCCAGGAGGGGGACTGCCTTCGAAGAAGGGGCAGTTATGCCCATTGTCAGCCCTGCCACAGTTTCTGCCAGAGCCATCCAACCTATCGTAGCATGACCCCCCAAGAGATCTTGGCTAGCTTGGAGGATGATCAATCAGGCTACAACGAGAAGTTGGCTGCATGGGAAGAGGACCGTCGCAGCAACAAGCGGGCGAGGTCCGCATCAGAGAAGAAGACGGAGGCCAAGACACAGACCAAGAATGCCTTGAGTACACGAGTGCTGAAAGGATTTCTGTGGACTTTGCCTTTGCTGCGGAAGTCGAAGGAGGAGAGCCTCTGGACTAAGCTGCCCAAGCAGACCATTCTTCATTTCGGCCGCTCCGTGCAGGGTGTCCTCCGGGAGAAAAACTGCATTGGAGCAATTGAATTCTATGAAGATTCCCAGGTGGCGGCAGTTCGCCAAGTGACCGTGTGCGAACGAGACGAGGAGGAGGAAGGCGATACTACTGTCGCCTTCGATGGTCTGTCGAAGCAGTTGGAGCTATCTTCCCACGAGCAGGAGACGCAGGACGGCTTGCAGATGCGGCAGCTCAAGGGCAAGAAGGCCAAGAAGGGTGGCGATGATGGGGACGACCTCATGTCCTTGTGGGGCGTGGCTTCCCTGACATCGTCCGGCTCCGCGGGGAAAGCTCCTCGTCAGGAAAGTGCAGCTTCCGATGAGGATGATGCGACCAAGAGCAAGCGGCCAAGGACAACGACTACCACGACGGCGCCGGCTCGAAACCTAGGTCGTGGTCGTGGCAAGGATAATCATGGGGCGGATGACACGTCTTCGCAGGCTCCAGCCAACGACGTCGCCACATCGTCCTCCAGCTGGCTCTTTGGGGGCAAACCTCGAAGTGTTGCCTCGAAAGGGGCTGGCAAGAGCTCGAAGGAGGTCAAGGAGCTGGAGGCCACTGACAAAGTCATCGTGATCTTCGAGTCCATCGCCAAGACTTTTGCAGACGACGATGCATTCCACTCTGTGACCTTTGCGAAAGTGAATGGTGTAGCCTCCAAATTGCAAGCCCGAAGCACGAAGGAGCTGCAGAAGATGTACAGGGAATTGAGCCAAGATGGGTCGGATTCTCAGCGGGCCGTCGACGTGCTTCGAAGGCTTACATCTGCGAATGTCCAGGTTGAGGTGCTTGGCTCTTTGGTAGCCGCCATTCATGATGCCGGGACAACGTCTGCGACTCTCAGCCGGTGCATGCAGGATGCTGAATCCTCGGGTTTGTCCTTGCCTGTTAGCCTCTCTAAGATGTGCATGGCTCGTACATTATTGGAGCTTGGGAGCAGCGGTCAGTTCCAGGCCTACTTCGAGAGGCTCGAGAGCGAGGAGGTTGACAAGTTGTTCGGTGGCGATGCTGATGCCATGGCGGAGTTTCAATATTGCAGCGTGAAGACGACTTTGTGCAAACAGTTGAACCAGGAAGTGCAGCCATTGAAGAAGCAGGATGCCGCTGCAAAGGCGGCCGAACACATCACGGAGGAGCAGAAAGCCATTGCCGAGCAACAGCTACGTGAGGCGACTTTTCAGCTGTTGCATGTGGTCCCATTGAAGTCACGGTTCAGGTGCAGGTGGTTGGTCGGTTGAGTCGCTGAAAAGCTTATTGTGTTATGGTTGCGCTTAGGGAGGGTTATCGGTGCGGTATAGACGGTATAGCCGGTATAAGTATAATATAAGGTATACGGTATGGTTAAATTATAGTTGAATAAATTATGAATTATAAACTATAATTATAATCTATAATTATATATGTATTATATAGTTCTATTTATCGTAGAATTATAGACTATAGCCTATACAGCCTATACACGGTATAGGCTGTATAGATGGTATAATGGTTATAACTTATAATTTATAAAGTGATAGTTATTATAGTCTATAATTTATCAATTTATAATTTCATACCTGTGTAGATGGTTTAGAGTTCAGACTATAGACTATGAATTGTAGACGATAGCCGTGTACTTTCAGATTCAAAGGTGTAGATTCAAGGGTCTTCAGGGAGCTTCAGTGGTTCTGACTATTGAAGCATCGGGCGGGGTTCCTGCAGGATCGGCATCTGAGAAACTTTCACGAGATGTCGGTTGCAACTGCCGAAACATAGGCGAATGCAAAGCCTATTAGATCATTATCATTGTTTATCATTGATTATCAAACTATTGTTGTCCTTAGTACTGTGGAGAGTTTGATTCCGTTCCACTGGCCCAAGAGCTAGAACTGTATCCTAGATACGGCCCTACACCTTAAACCTTAAGCTCTTAACTGTAAGCATTGCCACAAATCAAAGAGTAGTACTTAGGACTTACGATGTTTAGGAATTATGAATATTAATAATATCAAACAAGAACAAAACTGGTCCTTCCTAGTACTGAGGCTACAAAAGATCGTGCCGTGGAACTCACTTTGCAGGTCCAGTCGTTCCTGGAGCGATTTGCAGGGAGTAGCCTATGCTCTGCTTGGACCCAGAACAGCAATCTTGTGAGTTTCGTGGATGAGATCGAAAACCTCAGAAAGGTCGTGGCCATCGCAGTGTCAGTGCAGGATGCAAGTTTCCGTGTTAAGGCCGAGGAGGTAGATGCGATCAAGTCTGCCCGCGCTACCATTCTTGCAAAGAAATCGGCCTTGCACGAATCCTTGACATTGTTCCCAGTCGGGTTGTTCGTTCAGCAATCGTGTAACACGGGTGTTGAAGCCTTCTACAGGGACCGTGGCTTTGCGGCAGACCTAGAGGCATGCATTCAAGCATGTGCGGCCATGAAGCATTTCACCTACGATGTGCTCTTCAAAAACGAGGCTTGCGACATCGCTATCCCCGGACAGGCCAAAATCGTCGAGGTGGTGCAGAAGCTGACCTTGATTGATGCGGCCGCCTCTTGCAATTTCAAGACTGAGAATGCACAGGGGTTAGGGGTGGTTCAAACCAAGATGACGGAGCTTGCGGATGCTTTGACAGAGGCTTGCATCGCGAAGTTCCGGAAGTTGTGCTTGGTCGATTTGCCTGAGCCCTTGAAAGCTTTGCTGGAAGGACAGCTCACGATCGACACGACGGCGGCCCTCTTGGAGAAGTTGAATGTTGCCAAGCAATTCGTGCCGATTAGCCAGGCAATCTTGCAGAAATGCATGGGCACCGCTAGCTCAGATCTGATTGCGACGGTCATGGCCGGTCGCGACTTCATGGGTTCCCTCGCGACAGCTCTCCCCCATCTTGTAGCTTTGTTCGATACGGGTGCAGCCGATGGCAAGTTCGCACCAGCCAGGTTGTTGGACTCCGACTTAGTCAAGTTTGTGCTGGCTTGGGGAGAAAGCGTCAACCATGCAAGGATCAAGGCTATGCTGTCTGTGGATGTTTGGGATTGTCTATGTGGAGTGATCGAGAAAGCCAGCAAGTCTGCCATGTCGCTCGTTCGATCAGCATCAGTATTAGTGGCTTATGGGTACGGTTATTGTTACGGCTATAGGCTATAGCCTACTACTATTATTAATCATTATTTATTATTGTTATTATCATAGTCAGATTGCTACTGCTGTTGTTATTAGTTATGGCCATGGCTATTGTGGCCAGTGTGGCGATTGTTCTTACCGATTCTTGCCATCTGAGGCAATAACAACCACGACACTGATAATTGAAAGTAGCAATAACACAAAATGTAGTATCAAATAAGGATATTAAAATCAGATTCTTATGGGGGTAGTAAAACCACATTATTTTAATAATTGTTTGTATCTCAGAACCGATATACTAGGCTATCATCTGATAGAACTTCAAATTTGTGGGATCAACGACGTATCGTGTGTCCGCACACGGTTGAACTTTCTGAGCTGTCGAGCATCATCTAGATAATAGAGCAAAGGTCGTGACCGTATCCGTATATCAATTAAATTATATCATTATCTCAATTATCTCAGATCATATCATATCAACAGAAATATTTCTCCAACGGTTTAAGGTACAGGGGTGATTCAGTTGTTAGGGTTTCTGCAATGAGTGCAGGCTCTCCCAGGCGGGCATGTACAAGTCGGTGGAAGAAGGGGATGTTTCAGAATGGTTTACTCAATATGCTCGTTTGTAGGGTTGGATCCGCGGGGGCTGGATCAGTGGGCTTGGCAAAAACCAAAGTTATCAAAATCAGAAGTCAACCTGAACAAAGACTTATTGGATACGTTACGACACGGTAGGTTTGTCCAGAATTAATGTAACTGGAGATTTGCAGACACTGAAAATTGTTGAGAAAACCATGAAAAAATGTAGTATTATTTCTGTCCAAGCCGGTGTGTGAACAGAGCAACCGGAAGCTGTGCCATTCCAGTGACCCCTTGCACCGACATTGGCACGTCGGGCAAGGTCACACTAGATGGCTGGCCTTTGTGTCCCCAAGCAAGGAAACTTGATGGCTCTTCGGGTGAGAGCCCGGCAACACCAACAGGTTTTCGCAAGGCTGAGGACGTCTGTGCAAGAGCCGGCAGAAGCTGCAAAGGTGTGACTCCCAAATTGTCAACAAGAAATTGTTCCTCAAGTGTGTTCACTTGTGCCATGCCACTGACCCCTTGCACCGACATGGGCACATCGGGCAAGGTCACAGTGGATGGCATCTATTGTTTCCTCACACTGCTCAGAACAACCTGTCAACTTAAACAGGTTGCTGCAAGGTTGAGGAAATCTTGAGTCAGCATGGCATTGCTTGGCAAGGTTGACGATTCGAATTGAGGAAATCTTGAGGAATCCTCCTCAAGTGGGGCAAAGAAGGCAAGAACGACGTCCAAGGCCCTGATTTGCCGGCGCATACTCATTCACTGAAAGAGCCATATCAATTCTGTTCCTCCAAGTGTGTTCACTGAGACAGCCACATCGACATAAGGCTGCAAGCAAATCAGACTTGTGTCTCAATTGTTATGCAACCTTCTCATCAGTCATCGCACTGTTTTACCTGTGTTGCTGCATGGCCTGCTGTTGCTGTTGTGTCACAGCATTCACACCCCAAAAACCAGTCACAGCAGATTGGCTTGAATAATAAAAAGCATGCAGCTCAGTAAGCTATGAAACGTATTTTGGCTGACGAAGCGGATCGTCACAATAGATTCCGGACAATCTGCGCAACTGCTTCCCCGAACATCGAAGTGTATTCCCCACTAGCCTGTACATCTGCTGGCACACCGGTGAAACGGCCGTCTTCGCCTCGGTTTACCAGACCAATGAAAGCATTATGATCTGGTTTGGGCCTGGCCAGGTTCTCAAAATGAAACCCAGGCAAATGCCACAGTTGCAAGGGCTTCACTGACTTTCCGTTAAAGGCACCCATGTAGGTGCAAGTCTTTTCGAAGCCACAAAAGGATAGAACTGTTTTGACACACTCGAGGTGCGGCATACAGGAGCTGAGGGGCTGTTCCACCACAGGGCAGCACTCACATGCCCATCCCAGGAAAATCCCAAGTGAGCAAACAAGGGCCTGACAATTTCCCTGCAATACAAAGTCCCGCTCAGTCCATGCGCCTTCCCAGCCGTTGCTTTCAGCACGTTGGGAACGAAATGAGCACATAATGACAAAAGAAGAGCACGGAGTGCCCCACCAATGCAAAGCCTTCTTCTCACACGCTGTGGCTGCATCCAGAAACAAACGCAACCCTTTCGCTAGCAACATGTTGTGTTCGTCATTGTAGAGTATGTCAAAGCTGCACCCACGGAGACCGGATTCGATCAATTTCTTCGAAAGTTTGGCGCTCCCTGCATAGTATTCAATGTATTGCAGCAACCCCGCACATTGATGGGGTCCCACATCGATTGAAGCTGCTTCAATCTTGGCTCTGTTGTCATAGCTACGGCTAATGATGCACATCAGCTGACACTCGATGGTTCGGTTCTTCAATGCGGGATAAGCCAATCCAATCAGCCCATGCCATTTCATGGCCACTCTGCCCACATTGAAGTCCTGGTCGTAGCGCAAGAAATTTTGCACCAAAATCCTTGCAACCATGAGCCTGTGACACCAAGGCTCTGTGGACCTGGCCAGCAAGATCAATTGAGGATGATGATAAGTTTATGTAGTATTACATTAATTAATGAAAAATTCAAATTATAACAAAATCTGTGACCCATAACACTTTGAACAGACTCCGGCCTTGGGGAGAAAGACAAGGAAGCAAACGGAAGGAAATGCGAACATTGCAATCGCGATGTTTGCTCGAAGACGTCCTCTACCCAAGTGTCAAACCGATCATCAATTTCATCAGTTCCTGTAACTGTATCGGTAAAATTCAAGGCAGGAAGAGTACACGGGCGCTCCACTGATCTACCTCCCAACTCAAATGACTCTGCAGCATTCTTTTTCCTTTTGCATTTCTTGCGTGCTGGCTTCACAGGCCCAGCACTACCACTGAAGACCAGCGATGATCCCAGCACATGCTGGCACGGCCACTGGAAATTGGACATGTTGGTGATTCACTGACATCAATACATTGATTTGTTGTCCCACATAACTTTAAACCATACCTCTGGTCCAACTTGAGCAACAAATGGATTCAATGCTTGCCTGGCATATCAAGCACATTCCACAAACTAACAGGACACAATGTCAGGAAGGCTTGTTTTTGCTGATCGCTTTCTCCCCGAGCAATCTGCAGCATAACTATGGTGAGACTTCATGATTCATGTCATGTCATCTTCAATTGCACACTTCAGGCATTCAGCAACTGTAATTGCAACGTAACTGTAAAGACTCAATCACAGAATGAACAGCAACTGCGCACAAGCTGAAGCCAAAATTGTGAATCGAACATGTTGCCGCTATGACAGCAGGAGCAGATTCACACACATTGGACTCGGCTGGATGAACTCACTCCCTGTGACTTCTTGAATCGACCGAAGACTTGAAGCTAAGAACACGATACTTGCATACATGACATTGACAGCAATCTGCTACCTGCTGACATGTTTTCCCCTGTGATGTATTTATCACAAAAAAACTGAAGAGGCTACTTGGCATACTTTGTAGGCGAAGGCATTGCGTCGATAATCGGGGCAAGGCGTTCCAGGACAGCCTCAGGGATAGTACCAGGCTGACAATGAGGCGGCAGTTGCCTTTCGGGTTTGGCCTTCTCCCACTCTGTCCATGCCCAGCGATGCACTTGAGCCAGTGCTTGCTTCCAGTCTGATCTGTCGTTAGCAAAGCTTTTGCTGCAAGACTTTTTCCCCTCACTTGACACATACTGTTTTGTCATGATCTCGGCTTTGAAGCGATGATCGTTGAAGCTGAGACGCAACTTGAAGTCTTCGGGTGGATCCAACTCCGACAGGAAGTCGGGAGTGTTATTCAAGTGTGGACCATGCTCGCGCGGAGCACGTTGCGATGCCTGGCCACGATGTGCAGCATCATCAAGGACCTGCTCAGGGGCTGATCCGCTCGAGGACGAGGCCTGTGCCATTCCACTGTCCCTTGGCCCGGATATTGGATCCGGCAAGGTCCCATTGGATGGCTGTGCTTGCACTTTTGTTTCCTCGTGTGCGACCCCGGCACCACCAAGCACAGAGTGTGGACGGGAAGCATCGACACAGGGCTCCTCCGCCGGGGGGGCGGGCTCTCCTTCACCAGTGTGTGGACTGGGAGGATGGGCGCAAGGCTCCGGTGAGGGGGCGGGCTCTCTTGGACTGGGAGCATGGACACAAGGCTCTGCCGGCAATGAATCAGGAGTTGTTCGATCGTCCATGACATTCATGTCCAACAGCTGGCTTTCCAACTCCTCTTTGAGTTCAGAGATATCTGGATCTTCTTCCACTGCTGGTCCGGGCATTTGTTCGAGCACCTGCTCCTTGCGTTTTCGTGACGCTGCTTGCCTGCGAGCCAGCCCTTGCAAGCCCAAAGCTGTGCCTCTTCCAAACCCATTGCCTTTTCCACGGCCTTTGCCTTTTCCTTTGCCCTTGCCTTTGCATTTTGCTTTGGCACACGGTTTTGACTTTGCTTTGGCTTTTGCCACAGCTCTCCTCGCTCTTTTGGCCTGCAATCGAATCACAATTGAGTCACAATTGAGTCACATTTGAATCACAACAATTGAGTCTAAGCCTAGCTCAGAAACTCACTGGAAGGTCTTGCCAGGGTGCCTTTTGTTCTGCAACCTTCTCATCCCACATGTTTTGCCAACGTTGTTGCTCGGCCTGCTGTTCCTGTCGCATCAGGGCTTTCTCCAAGTCCTGGAAATCCTGTTTATCTGAGGGCTCCATGTTGTCCAACAATGCTGATAGAAAACCATCAGGCATATCTGCATCAGGAGCCTTCTGAGTGTCTGACTCTGCAGCTTCACGGCAAGCTTCTGCAAACTCTTCTCCGAAACACTCCTGACACTGTTTCAACAACTCCTTCTTGGAATTCTTGTGGGGTTGTGTCACATTCAAGTAGTCCGCCATCAATGTCAACTCCGCAAAGGTCCTTTTGTGCCCGGAGCGCAAAGTGTTTTGCACAAGTGGTTCCCAACCACAC